CTAGTCCCGCCTTAGAAACAAAAGCTGGCTGAGTGACTTTGGGCCAATCACCAGGAGACGGTGAGTTCCAGTCCCGCCTTAGGCACAAAAGCTGGCTGAGTGACTTTGGGCCAATCACCAGGAGACGGTGAGTTCTAGTCCCGCCTTAGGCACAAAAGCTGGCTGAGTGACTTTGGGCCAATCACCAGGAGACGGTGAGTTCCAGTCCCGCCTTAGGCATGAAAGCTGGCTTAGTGACTTTGGGCCAATCACCAGGAGACGGTGAGTTCTAGTCCTGCCTTAGGTGTGAAAATTGCCTGGGTGACATTGGACCAATCACCAGGAGTCCATGAATTCAAGTCCCGCCTTAGGCATGAGAGACAGCTGGGTGACTTTGGGCCCATCGTTCTCCCTCAGCCTAACCCGCCTCACAGGGTTGTCGTTGCGGTGAAAACAGGAAGAAGGAGTATTAGGTACGTTCGCCCCCCCCTCCACGAATTATTTCTAAACCCTAATAAAAGCAGGATAAAGATCAAAATCAATCAACAAATCACAGACAGAAGTCAAGAATGGCAGGTGATGGAAGAGAGCGAGCTGAACGTCACCGCTCTTGTTATCCAACTTTTATACAGAAGCCACCTGGGCAGAGAACCGACAGTCCTTCCGCAATTCGGTCCCGTCTCATTGTAATAACAGGTAAGCACCCTGCAACGTTGACAAGATCTCAGGTACGTCAAATGGACGTTTTGAAGAAGAGACTGGACAGCCATTTGTCCGAAATGGTTTAGGGCAGTGGTTCTCAACCTTTTTAATGCCGCGACCCCCCAACCGGTCGTAAGTCGAGGACTACTCAACCGGTCGTAAGTCGAGGACTACTCACCTGGTGCAGCACCATTTGCAGAATGGGACTTTTGGCGGGCTCAGCAGGGCAGAGACAGCCTGGACAATTCCTATTGGCTTTGGAAAGCCAATAGAATTAGACTCTATTCAAGAGAGTCGCTTCTATTGCTTTCAAAAGCCAATAGAATAAAAGGGAGTAGCACAGCTAAGGAAAAGGGGAAAAAAATGGCGGACTGCGTTGTTTGGCGACCCCCGTGAAATGGTCGTTCGACCCCAAATGGGGTCCCGACCCACAGGTTGAGAACCACTGGTTTAGGGTCACCACGATGTAAAAGATGTTGGTCACCACGATGTAAAAAAGATGTTGAGACTCTAGAAAGAGTACAGAGAAGAGCAACAAAGATGATTAGGGGACTGGAGGCTAAAACATATAAGGAACGGTTGCGAGAATTGGGTATGTCTAGTTTAACGAAGAGAAGGACAAGGGGGGACATGATAGCAGTATTCCAATATCTCAGGGGCTGCCATAAAGAAGAGGGAATTAAGCTATTTTCCAAAGCACCTGAAGGCAGGACAAGAAGCAACGGGTGGAAACTAATCAAGGAGAGAAGCAACCTAGAACTAAGGAGAAACTTCCTGACAGTGAGAACAATTAATCAGTGGAACAGCTTGCCTCCAGAAGCAGTAAATGCTCCAACACTGGAAGTTTTTAAGAAGAGACTGGACAGCCATTTGTCCGAAATGGTGTAGGGTTTCCTGCCCGAGCAGGGGGTTGGACTAGATGACCTCCAAGGTCCCTTCCAACTTTACTTTACTACTACTACTACTAGGGTTTCCTGCCTGAGCAGGGGGTTGGACTAGACGACCTCCAAGGTCCCATCCAACTTTATTATTATTATTAAATATTAGCAGCAGCAGACCAGGCGTTGCTCTGATGTCACTGTGAAGTTTGGTTAACCCAGGGGTCTTCAAACTTGGCCCTTTAATGACTTGTGGACTTCAACTCCCAGAATTCCTCAGCCAGGCAGACCCCTGGGTTAAGCTCTCAGAAAGCTGGATAGTTTCCTGCTACAGGTTCTCCCCCCGACCACCACCATCGATTCCTAGCATCAGAAATCAGGATCTTGAGCATGGGAGGACAGTCTTGCGGACCTTGTGTGAAGATTTCCTTTCCTGATAAACCAACTTGGAACTTGGAAAACTTTGTGGACTTCAAGGCCCAGAATTCTCTGGGCAGGCTGAGGAATTTTGGGAGTTGAAGTCCCCGAATTTGATATCAAAAGTGGTGTTTTTTTTTAATTTTTGAAATTAAAAAGCATCCAATACAACTGACGAAGCTTCAAGGATGGGAAGCGAAACCTCTTTGTTTTTCCTCAAATAATAATAATAATAATAATAATAATAATAATAATAATAATAATAATACCCGTTGCTTTTTTTCAAAATAAAATAAAAGAAACACTTTTGATACAACTAAGTCCTGAGAATTTTCACAGACCTTCTCCCAGAATTTTAACAGCTGGGAAAATTGCCAGAACTGCCTAAACCCTGCCACGAACAATATCGGTGTCTTTGATTTTTCTTTTAAAAAAATAAATAAAAATCTAAAGCTCCTTTTGTTGGTTTGAGTATATTAATGACCGAGCCACATAAAAAAGTGTCCTTCAGGGTTGTTAGCCTATCACAAAGTCCGCTACAATGGGGATAATGAAAGATATAAGTGTAATAAAAAAAATATATAGCACTGGAAACAGGATGTATTTGAATAAACCCAGGGGTTGTAAATCTGGATTCAATACCCTGGAGCATTTCAGCTTTGGGGACTCTGGCTGATAACCCGGGAACCGAAAGCTTATCTGGTTCAGCCCTTTATCAGCTCCAACAGGCACTTTCTGCATACTTCTTTTCTGACCTAGAGGCAATGTTGCAGGAATGCTAGGCTAGAAGCTACACGTGAGGATGTGTGGACGTCAACTCCCAGAAGCCAAGCAACCTACAACTAAGGAGAAACTTCCTGACAGTCAGAACAATTAACCAGTGGAACTCTTGCCTCCAGAAGCGGTGAATGCTCCAACACTGGAAGTTTTTAAGAAGAGAACTGGACAGCCATTTGTCTGAAATGGTATAGGGTTTCCTGCCTGAGCAGGGGGTTGGACTAGATGACCTCCAAGGTCCCTTCCAATTTTATTATTACTATTAATAATCCCCACTCCCTTTGAACACTGATAACGTTCCCTAGCTGGGTCACAAAACGTCTGCAAGAAGTAGCCAAGATCAGAGAGCCCAAAGATTCCTCAGTTCAACGCTAAACAACAAATATTCTCTTCTATTAGGAGGTTTTAATCATTGTTGGTGTTAAATCCAGTTTGCCTTCGTCTTCCAGGCCACAGTAGTACAGAAACAAAACTAGAAGTTTTTAAGAAGAGACTGGACAGCCATTTGTCTGAAATGGTATAGGCCAGGAGCAGGCAACCTTGGCTCTTTTATGACTCGTGGACTTCAACTCCCAGAATTCCTGGGCCAGCATGGGGGAACTATGGCCCCTTCATGACTCGTGGACTTCAACTCCCAGAATTCCTGAGCCAGCATGGCGGAACTATGGCCCCCTCATGACTCGTGGACTCCAACTCCCAGAATTCCTGGCTCAGCTTGGAAACCTCTCCCTTTCCCCTCAGCATGGCTGGCTCAGGAATTCTGGGAGTTGAAGTCCACGAGTCATAAATGAGCCAAGGTTGCCTACCCCTGGTATAGGGTTTCCTGCCTGAGCAGGGGGTTGGACTAGATGACCTCCAAGGTCCCTTCCAACATTATTATTATATTACAGGTAGTCCGTGACTTACGACCACAGCGGAGTCCACACTTCCTGTTATTAAGTGAGACATTTGTTAAATGAGTTTTACCTCATTTTAAGACCTTTCTTGCCTCGGTTATTAAGTAAATCGCTGCAGCTGATGAGGGAGTAATCTGGTTGTTCAGTGACTGCCTTCTCCATTGATGCTGCTTCTCAGAAGGTCACAAAAGGGGATTACGTGATCCCACCAGGACACTGCAACCGTCATAACTCTAAGTCAGTTGCAAAGTGTCTCAGTTTTGATCATGTGACCCATGGGCGATGCCGCAACGGTCTTAAGTGTGAAACACGGTCGTAAGTCCCGTTTTTTTCAGTGCCGTTCTAACTTTGAACGGACACTAAATGAACTGCTAAAAGTTGAGGACCACCTGCATTTTCTTTCTTCCCAATTCCAGCCAGACCACTCCCCTTTTACATTCTTAGCCCCCCCCGAACCCATCCAGAACTGGATGCCCCCCCCAAGGGGCTGGAGCATTTCCTTAATGGGGCTTTTGAGGAAGGGTCTTCATCACCCATCCAGAACTGGGTGTCCCCCCCAAGGGGCCAGGAGAGCATTTGGGGAAAGGGGCATTTGGGGGAGGGTCATCACCCATCCAGAACTGGGTGTCCCCTCCCAGGGGCCAGGAGAGCATTTGGGGCAAGGGGCATTTGGGGGAGGGTCATCACCCATCCAGAATTGGGTGTCCCCCCCAAGGGGCCAGGAGAGCATTTGGGGCAAGGGGCTTTGGGGGGGTCTTCATCACCCACCCAGAACTGGGTGTCTCCCCCCCCCAAAGAGTCAGGAGAGCATTTGGGGCAAGGGGTATTTGGGGGAGGGTCTTCTAGAGAGGACCCCCTGGTCAATATCCAGGTTTAGGAACCAAGATCACAGCAACCATGGCTTGGAGCAAAGGGCAAAGCTGATTCCAGCAAGGCACCACCTTATGGGTGGGTGGGGGCGCTGATCAGCCCCCCCCAGCAGGATTCCTGGAAGGGCTCTTTGTTTGCCCCCCCCCCATCCTTTTTGTCCACATCCTCTAGATACGTGGGACTACAACTCCCCTAAGCCACAGCCTGCTGGGAACCATGGGATGGGGTGGCCCAAGACCCCTCCCCAAAGGGCCCCATCCTGGAAAAGCAGCCCCTCCCCCGCCCTTCCCACCACACTACCTGCCCCCTCCCACCCTCTCCCATTCATTTTTTCATATATTCAAATAGGGCAAAAATGACGCCCCGCTCTCCCCGCGCCGAGCCAATCAGAGCGAAGAGGCGGCGAGAAGGGGAGGGCGTACCGCGCGGTTCTTCCCATTGGCCGGCGTTCCTGTCAATCTGGCCCAATCTCCGCCCTTACCTTGAAAACTGCCGAAGACGCCCCGCCCCCGCCCCCGGTTCTCTTTACCGGCCTCGGTTGCCGGCTACCTCTGAGGGGAAGCGGCCGGTCCGAACCGCTACAACGAGCCACCGAAGGGGGTCGGGGGCTTCGGCGGCTACGGCTTGGCTTTTTTTTCCCCGCGCACTAAGCGGCGTTTTCCCCCGCCAGCGCTGACTCGTTCTGACCGGCCGGGCGTAGGAATAATGCGCATGCGCCACAACCGCGCCTTTCGAGCCGGCCGGGCGCATGCGCAGCTGGCAGGCAATGCGCAGGCGATAAACGTAAAGCGGATGGGGCGGAGTCGTTGCTTTCATGAAAATCAGCGCGCTTGCCCAGTGGAACCGCTTGGCCAGAGAAGGGTTGGGGCGCCCTCTGTCGGCTCAAGGCATTAATTAGTATTTCTGGATTCGGTAGAATAAATTTTTTTTGTCTGGTTTTTTTTTGTTTTCCCCTCCAGAAATTAAACCTCCCCCTCAAAAATCACAAGGAATTTGGTACATTTTAATATAGTAAATTATATTAAAAAGCAAAAGATTTCATCAGCTGCATCTTCTTGTGGCCAAAATAGATTTACACAGCTCTCCTCCTATCCAGGGAGTCCTCGACTTAACGACTGCAAGTGAGCCCATGATTTCTGTTGCTAAGCGAGACGTTTGTTAAGGGAGTTTTGCCCCGTTTTACAACTTTCCTTGCCACCGTTGTTAAGTGAATCCCTGCGATGGCTGAGTTAGTAACCCGGTCGTTAAGCGAATCCAGCTTCCCCCATTGGCTTTGCCAGTCAGAAAGTCGCAAAAGGGGATCATGTAACACCCCCCCCCAGGGAACACGGCAACTGGCATAAGTACATGCCAGTTGCTGAGCATCTCAATTTTAATCGCGTGACCGTGGGGAATGTTGTAAAAGTCGCAAAGGGTCATGTCACATTTTTCAGGGCCCCTCTTTGAACGGTCACAAAATGAACTGTTGTAAGTCGAGGACTATCTGTAATGTCCAAAGGGAAAAAAAAGAGAAACCCGATCAGGCATCATAGTTCTTCTTCTGTGCTTCAGGATAATAATAATAATAATAATAACAACAACAACAAACGAGAAAGAACTGGAGAAGATAACAAAATACAAAGACCTACAAGTAGAAATAGAACGACTGTGGCAAAAGCAAGCAAGGGTGGTACCAATAGTCATAGGCGCCTTGGGTGCAATCCCAAAACAACTGGAGCACCACTTGAACACCATTGGCATTGACAAATCCGCTATTAGTCAATTGCAAAAGGCGGCCTTGCTAGGAACTGCTTCCATCCTATGACGATATCTGTAATACCACCAAACATCCACATCTGCCTATCCCAGGTCCTGGGTAAGGACTCAATAGGTAGACAAAAATGCCAAATCCAGTCTGAACATCTGGCTGACTGTGTGATGATCCATAATAATAATAACAACAACAACAACAATTTCATTATTAGGGAAAACTTACCAAATAATGAAAAATCCAGCAAAAGGGGCTACACCAGGCAACTACAGGCCAATTACCTGCTTACCAACAACTTTCAAATTACTAACTGGTGTAGTAGCTGATGCAGTACAACAGCATCTAATTGAAAACAATCTCTTTCCACCTGAGCAGAAAGGAAACCTCCCCAATAGCAGAGGAACAAAAGATCAACTCCTAATAGACAAAATGATCTTGGAAAACTGCAACAAAAGGAAGACCAACCTGAATATGGCATGGATTGACTACAAAAAGGCATTTGACTCTCTGCCCCATGACCGGATAATCAAGTGCCTAGAAATAACAGGAGTCCGTGGAAACATCAGAAAATTTGTGCGAAGAGCGATGGCACAATGGAAGACACAGTTGCAGGTCAATGGTGAGAGACTGAGAGAGGTTAATATCAAGAGAGGAATATTTCAAGGAGATTCATTATCACCAGTACTATTTGTTATTGCACTGTTTCCTCTGTCAACAATACTGAATAACTCAGGACATGGCTATCAAACATCAAAAACATCTGCTAGACTATCCCACCTCCTTTACATGGATGATCTGAAGCTGTATGAAAAAACTTCATCTGAAATAGAATCGCTGCTCAACACTGTCCGTATATATAGCCAAGATATTGTAATGGAGTTTGGACTGGACAAATGTGCCACACTTACTATCAAACAAGGAAAAATAGTGAAAACTGAAGGAATCAAGACGCCCCACGAAAATAGCATTAAGAGTCTGGATGAGGAGGAGTACTACAAATACTTGGGTATCCTTCAAGCTGACAACATCAAGCAGGCTGAAGTCAATAAAAAGATTAGAGGTGATAGAAGTAAAGGAGAGGTCTTGAAAAATTTAATATTTGGGAATTGGAGCTCATTGGCTTTGAAAAAGCTCCTTGAAAATAATAATGATTGTTTTGCTTGGGGTGAAGTATTTGGAATTTTGTGTGTGTGTGTCTGGTGTCAATGCAAGAAAGGGTGAAGAAGGCTAGTTTCTTAGTAATTAGAAGGACAATAGAAGGTGTTAAAAGAATGGAAATAATCAGATGGGAGAGAGAAAGAAAGAAAGGAGCTGTGTGAAGATTTTGAAATCAGGCAGTTTAGGAAAGAATTGCCCAAACTAATAGAACAGCGGTTCTCAACCTTTTTAATGCCGCGACCCCTAACCGGTCGTAAGTCGAGGACTACTCAATTGGTCTTAAGTCGAGGACTACTCAACTGGTGCAGCACCGTTTGCAGAATGGGACTTTTGGCAGGCTCAGCAGGGCAGAGACAGCCTGGAAAATTCCTATTGGCTTTTGAAAGCCAATAGAATGAGACTCTATTCAAGAGAGTCTATTCTATTGGCTTTCAAAAGCCAATAGAATAAAAGGGAGTAGCACAGCTAAGGAAAAGGGGAAAAAAAATGTCGGACTGCGTTGTTTGGCGACCCCCATGAAATGGTCGTTTGACCTCAAATGGGGTCCCGACCCACAGGTGGAGAACCACTGTAATAGAAGATCCTATTGAAGCAGGAAAACAGGGCAGAAATGTTTTTAGGACCAATGGAATATACATGGGGAGAAATGCAACCCTCCCCCGCTACCCCTTTTCTAGGATGGTCGCGTCCCACCTGCCAGGTGCCAACGTACCAACAGGTGGTACCCGTACCACGGTTGAAAAGCCCTGCTCTAAAAGGTTCACCATCACTGTGATAGAAGATTTATTACCGGTAAAAGAGGCTCAGAAAGTCTGTGCCCAAGAGAGAAGAGGAGAGAGATAAAGGTAAGATACTGTAAGATTAAAAATGATGGCTCAATGGGTGCAAACAGGCCAGCAAAGACAATGTGGAGGAGTAATCAGGAAACCAGTAAGGGGGTCTTGGGAGAGGTCTAGGCTGGGGGTGAGGTTAGCTGGTTGGCGCCAGGGGACATAAATCCCTAGGTCAGGAGAAAAATCCCCCCCCCCCGCCCCTGAATAAATAAATAAATAAATAAAGGTGCCTTTTGTAAGGAGAGAGGACACTGGGAAAATGAGTGCCCTAAAAGGATGGAGGGGGAAGAACTAGCAAATTTGGTGAATTTTGAGGATTAGGAGTGTCAGGAATCTTGTGGAAAATGGGAAGGACTCTTACAAATTCCAGAGGGCTTTAGCAGAGAAATTTATTGCGCAGGTTCAGAAGCAATAGCAACCAGCAATTCTGAACCCCGAGGGTGGGTTCAGACTTCAGTTTTATACTGAAGGACTACACATTGCAATACACATTGTAATACATGAGGTTCGTTTCTCACGGGTATACAATGGAGAGAGTTTGCTACATATGTTGTATCCAAGTGCAATGCACATTAGGTTAGTCGCATTCTACGGACGCAGCATTATTCCAGTAATTATGCAGACACATCGTTATTCTTGTGGTTTTTCATTATTCCACATTATTGGGACTAATTTGTTTTCTGGTCCAGCTTTTTAGGAACCCCCGATAAACTTTAAAGGTTGGATCCCTGGAGGAGGAAGAAAGAGTGTACTCGGTGGATTTTGGAGCCACCAGATTTACCCTGAACTATATACCTCCAGGAATGCAAATTGAGAAAGGGAAAATTAAGGATCAGGGCATTATGGACATGTGGTAGAAGCAACAACATTTAAATCTGCTATGGTCCAGACAGTAGCAAAAGGACTACGGTGCAACTTTATATTGGTAAAAGGAACTGCAATTTGACCAGGAGGTACCTAATTGGCAAATTGGGAATTGTTATTATGGGGAATGAAAGAGAAATATTTGTAAATATTATGACCTTCAGTGAGGAAGCTCAAGGAAAAGTGGACCCTCTTATATGGGCCCAAGAGGGCAATAGAAGCAGGGGTACTCATGGATCCTTTAAAAGTGACTTTAAAGAACCCTGGTGAAGTAATTCACCAGAAACAGTATATAACAGTGATGGCAAACCTTTTTGAGACCAAGTCCCCAAACTGCAACCCCAAACCCACTTATTTATCGCAAAGCGCCAACACGGCAATTTAATCTGAATACTGAGGTTTTGGTTTAGAAAAAACAACTCATACCTTAACATCTTTTGTCTTAAAAGAAAAAACACAATAACAAAGCTTCCAATGATATAAACCACTTTTTTTCTGAAAGGTAAAAGTTTGCATTTGGCATGCTTTTGAACAATTCATGTGATTTTTGCTGTTGTATGCATGCTGATAATTTGTTTAACCTTGGCTTATACTTTGTAAGTTTGAGAGCAACACATGCAGCACTCAGGTCATCTGTTAGTCTGTTTCTGGTGTCAGATTAGATATAATTCAAAGCTGAAAACAGCGCGCTCGCTCCAGAGGCTTGTTTTGGCTAGGAAGGGGCTTGGGAAATGACTTTTTCCTGTGAAAACTTAGCCAAAGAGCGAGGCGCGTGTGCCCACAGAGAGGGCTCCGAGTGCCCCCTCTGGCATGCGTGCCATAGGTTCGCCACCACTGGTATATAACATTACATTGGAAGGAGAAACGGGTTTAAAGCCCATGGGGGCTGCCGAAGGAGGGTGAATTTTTTGAGCAATCCTTTTAAACATGTTTAGTTTGTGACTTTTTTAACCCAAGAATTTCTGCCTTGGAAAAGTAAGAGATGCAGAAAAAAGAAAGAAAGAAAAGGGGGGGGGCAGTTTCTGTCTGCATGGTTTTTTTAAAAAAAAGAACAGAAATTGGATAAAATTTCCTGACTGTAAGAATAATTAATCAGTGGGCTA